TCAGTGGACCAAAATTGGACGTCCAAAAACGACATATTAAAGATGTCATTCCGACGTCACTATGCGCAGTGGGTACAGTTCCTAAAATACCTATCGCTTTGAATTTAAGTAAGAGCCTCTTGTGGGGGACAACATCAAAAGCCTTTTGGAAATCTAAGTAGATGACAACCATGCATTGCATAGAAGTCCAATAACAGAACACCACTCGGGTTCAGATCTCTCGACCTCACGCACAAGCTCAGGCTCCTTCCCCACCAGAGAGGTGACATTCCATGTCCCGAAAGCCAGTTTTGTCAGCCGGGGATCGGACCGCCAGGTCCTCCCTTAGCCGCCACCAAATCCACAATGCACCGAACCCCTGACATTACCCTTGTGGGTGGTGGGCCCACCTGGGGACAGTCCTGCGTGCCTCTTTCGGGCTATGCCTGGCCGGGCCCCACGGGCCAAGGTCCAGCCACCAGGCGCTCGTCAACGGGCCCCTCCCTCAGGCCTGGCTCAAGGGTGGGGTCCCGGTGACCCTACTCCGGGCGAGGGAAAATGAGACTTTGCTGGGATACCTTATCATAGGGTTCTTTTGGAGACATCTGAGGGCACAGAGCCCAAGGGTGCTGGGGGGGGCTTGCCCATCACTGGGGCTGAGGTGGCCAGGGTGGTTAAAGAGCTACGCGGTGGGCCCCGGGGGTGGACGAGATCCGCCCGGAGTACCTGAAGGCTCTGGATGTTGTGGGGCTTTCGTGGCTGACATGCCTTCTCAACAGTGTGCGGAGGTCAGGGACAGTGCCGCTGGATTGGCAGACCGGGGTGGTGGTCCCCTTATTTAAGAAAGGTGTGTTCCAACTACAGGGGGATCACACTTTTCAGCCTTCCGGGGAAAGTCTATTCTTGGGTACTGGAGAGGAGGGTGAGATCAATAGTCGAATCTTGGATTCAGGAGGAACAATGCGGTTTTCGTTCTGGCCGTGGAACACTGGACCAGCTTTATACCCTTGCAAGGGTACTGGAGGGGGCCTGGGAATTTGCCTATCCACTCTACATGTGTTTTGTGGATTTGGAAAAGGCTTACGACTGGGTTCCCCGAGGTGCTCTGTGGGGGGTGCTTTGGGAGTATGGGGTTCATGGCCAACTACTGTGGGCGATTCGGTCCCTGTATGAATGGGGCAGAAGCTTGGTCCGCATTGCCGGTTATAAGTCGGACATGTTCCCAGTGCGGGTTGAGCTCCGCCAGGGCTGCCCTTTGTCATCGATCCTGTTTATAATATTTATGGACAGGATTTCTAGGCGCAGTCAGGGTGTTGAGGGTGTCCAGTTTGGTGGCCTCAGGATTGCCTCGTTGCTTTTTGCAGACGGTGTCGTCCTGTTGGCTTCATCTGCTGGGGATCTCCAGTGTGCTCTGGGGCGGTTCGCAGCCGAGTGCGAAGCGGCGAGGATGAGGATTAGCACCTCCAAGTCCGAGACCATGGTTCTCAGCCAGAAACGGGTGGATTGTCCTCTTCAGGTCAGGGAAGAGGTACTGCCTCAAGTGGAGGAGTTTAAGTATCTCGGGGTCTTGTTCACGAGTGAGGGTAGGCGGGAGCTGGACAGACGAATCAGAGCAGCGTCTACAGTTTTGTAGGCGATTAACCGGGTCGTCGTGGCTAAGAAAGAACTGAGCCGGAAAGCAAAGCTCTTCGTCCCTACCCTCACCTATGGCCATGAGCTATGGGTAATGACCGAAAGATTGAGAACGCGAATACAGGTGGCTGAAATGAGAAACCGCAGGGTGTCTGGGCTCTCCCTTAGGGATAGGGTGAGAAGTTCGGATATGCGGGAGGGTCTCAGAGTAGAACCGCTGCTTCTCCACGTCGAAAGGAGCCAGTTGAGGTGGTTTGGACATCTGGTGTGGATGCCTATTGGGTGGCTACCCGGAGAGGTTTTCCGTGCATGTGCTACAGGGAGGAGGCCCCGGGGCAGACCCAGGACACGCTGGAGGGATTATATCTCTCGGCCTGGGAACGCCTCAGTATCCCCCCTCGAAGAGCTGTTAGAGGTAGCTGGGGAGAGGGAGGTCTGGGTATCTCTCCTGAAGCTGCTACCCCTGCTACCCGGACCCCGGACAAGCGGTAGGTAATGGATGGATGGATGGAATATTTAAACAACTTGTCAATAAAAGGGATGTTTCCGTATCATTTTCAAATAAAACATATACGAACCAAGGAAATGTTGCCGAAGCCAGAATTGAAAGAGCCATATGACAGTCAATATGTAGATAAACAGAAACTCGCAGATCTTTACAGGTCGTCCTGTGATCAGAATTAGTTGCAGTTAGTTTCAATTTTTAATTCAACAAAGGTTATTAATCAAATGAACAACTTCTTGTTCCCATAAAATCATCAAATATACAGTATCTCTGAAGACACAGAGCAAATTAAATAATAAAACCACTCCATCACTGGGAGTGTCCTATTTACAACTTGCATAGAATGTATTACTGCCAATTTCAGATGGATTACATCAAAGTTTATGCCTTTAATTACGAAAAAACTGACTGACACTTATAGCTCTTTTATAGTCAAATATTTTCCTTATGGTTAACAGTTTTCCTTACCTTTGTCATTTTGTAGAATCAGACTTAGATATAGGAAACTTAATATTAGGTGAAGCATAAAGAAAATCCCCAATAGGGTTTTCAGAGCTAAATCTGAAAAGGAATATAACATAAAAAATATGATTAAATAAACATAACATGTTTGGCCCAGATGTAGCTGAAAAAAACAATCACCAATCTCAGACCAGGGCCAAATGAGCCCCAGATGTAAAATTTGAGTCACCATTCTGGGCTAGATCTGCACCACATGTCATAGCATTAATAATCACATTGGGCCAATACTGGCCAAGGTCTGTTCCTGATCCCCAATCGAAATCCATGCCAGTATTGGGCCATTGGAAAGAAAGACCCCATTTAGCGGATCTGCACCAAATTCTATCCAATATCTGGCCCAGATTTGGCACAGTTACCTTTTGCTGTCTGGGAATCAGACTGAACTGAATCCAGATCACTATACATATTATATTCTCATCACTTAAAGCTGAATTGTGCTGCACACACAGAACTCTGATATATCCACTCTGACACCATGCACTGTTTATGCTGCTTCCTGAACAGGGGGAATCAGCATCTGGACAGAAGGAAGGTATTTACTGATGGATCCTAATATCACTAAAAGTGATGTCTGTACTTTCTAGGATGTAGCAGAATGATTGAGGCTCTGGCCTTTGTTAGGGTCACTCTGGAAGCCCGGCTCTCTGACCCCCGGAAGGTATGGTGTATAATGTTATTGTGGTTTATCATCCAGAGCTGTACTTTACCACCGTTTTATACGGAGTCTGCCTGGAATGCTAACAATTAGCATTGAAATGATAACAATACGATAGCTTATAGGACAATAATGGGGAGACGAGGCCAGGAGGCATGAGGATGATGAGGAGAAAGGCTGATGTGAGGCTGTAAGGCAGCTCAGGAGAGAGAAGAGAGGAGAGGCGACACTTAGGAAAGGCTGCAGTCTCAGCCGCATGGGGAACATCTTGCTGAATAAATAAAGGGCTTATTATGGCTCATCATGGTGCCTCCAAAGAACCAGGAATAAGCAGCAAAATACCAGGAAAACATTCATGATGATAAACTTTAACAATGTACCAATAAGGTCATAGATAAGAACTCAGGTTCTTCTTCCAGACTGTGAAGGTCTAAGTGTTTTTATCAGTTTGTATAATAAGCAGAATATGACCTCAACTGAAATGGAGTTTTTTTTAATGGCCCTTTTGAGAATCATATCGGAAATACTTAAATTATACTCAAAAATAATTGTCAAGTTAACATCTGAATAAGCATCATTGTACAGTTCATTACAATTTTAAACTACATAAATTGTCATTGACAAACATAGCTGAATATGGTTCAGTACAAAGTTTCATACTTACAGTAAAATCCCTCCAAGCGCTTTTTTTCATGATACAATAAATAATCCTTAATAATTATGCAGGCACAGATTCCCAAAGCAGCTACTGCAATCGGAATTGCATATTCTGAAAAGAGAAATATCACATTAGCCTGGGGTGTATAAATATCCACACTTGTGCCTTATCCTATCATAATTATGAATATAAAATATAACATTAGTCTGTGGTGTATAAGTATCCACACTAGTGCCTAATCCTAACACTATTATGAATGTTTTACCTCACGACTGTGTGTTTAATAAATAAAAGGTTTTCCTCAGTTAAACACTCGCTGTCTTTCCTTCGGCTCCCTTTACTAGATACAATTCACACATTCCCAGTCACATGACACCAGGGTCGGATTGTACTGGAATACAAGTACCTGCGTTACATATTCAGAATACCATCCATTTTCTGTAACTGCTTGTCCTATTCAGGGTCACAGGGGGTCTGTAGGCTATCCTGGAGGTCATGGGTGCAAGGCAGGGAACCATCCAGGATAAGGCCCCAACCTATTGCAAGGCACACTCACACACCATTCACTCACACATGCACACCTACGGGCATTTTAGTGACTCCAACCTCAACATGTTTTTGGACTGTGGGGGGAAATCAGTGTATCTAGAGGAAACCCCACAACGACATGAGTTGAACATGCAAACTGATGCATATGGACCCATGGTGGAAACCTGTACCCAGGTCCTAAAGCTGTGAGGCAACAGTGCTAACCTCATTTTTAGTATACAAAGATGTGTATTCTTTATTCAGCTCACGTTATGTTTATAAAACAACATTAGAGAATACAGACACTTTATAAAACTGAAGCTGAATACTTTTAAAAAACATCTTCTTAAACTTACATTAGTCCAATTTCTAAACCAGCAGAACTGTCCCTGATTGTAACATGACACGTTCCTTCTGCCGACATGGGTAAAACAGAGAGGACTACACACAGGAGATGCAGATAACAGTTTATTATACCAAGGTGCAGTGAATCTGTGCAAGAATAATGATGCTGAATTATGCCAAGGCTTGAATATCTAAGGTCCAACAGGAAAAGTACAAAATGGAGCAAGACAAAAATCAAAAGCTTAGTAATATTTCAGAAAAACCCCGTTGTGTCAAACAATCCAAATCGTCAGGCAAAGACGAAATCCAAAAACCAGAACAAGAGTCAAACAGAGAAACAAGAATAAACGTGGACCACTGAACACCAGATGCATGCACTTTCCTAATAACTCAGATAAAAACATGTTTCACCTAAGACAGCCAGGAAGTAGGCACATAGCATGCTGGGAAATATAGTTCCATAACCCTAGTTAGTAATATCTGCGTGCATCACTTCCTTTCTTAGTGTCCACGCGATGGCTTGACAATTAGAGCATGCTACTAAACAGGACAGTAATGTCCGGCCTCCTTGTGTTTGGCTCTTGGCAAGATCATCATAAATGCAATGAAGTAGTGAACAACAAAAGCTTTATTTGTGGTGTGCTAGCTGTGCTATCCAGCTAGAAAACATAGTTGGGGGAGTCTGACCCATCTTCCACCAGAAGCTGATGACGAAACACCTTGGTGGCAGGTTGCATTTATGCTTGGGACTTTTGCCATGTCCCCGGCACAGTTGAAGGAGTCCCCTGCTCTGCCCTAATGGACACAGGGGCCACCGTGACAATGGTGAGGCCTGACGTGGGGCCACATGGGCTCAGCTGGAGCCAACTTCTGTGCAGTATATTTATATTTATATTAGACACTGGGGGGGTTGGGGGTAGCGGCTGGGGGATGTTCTCCTGGAGGGGAAGATGGAGAGATGGGGGGGGGTCGCATACTGCAGGTGCATGCTCAACAAGACGGAGCAGCACTAATGTGACACACATTGGGAACCACTAGTGATGGTGCATTCTTACAGGTGAGTGAGGGGCTGTAGTCCAAATTCGACACCCTGCGCCTCTGCGACAGTGTGTAACGGCGGGCAGGTAGGAGTCAGCCACCAGTGAGAAGAGCTGGCAAGCGGTGTTCCCAGGACCCTAAAAATTATGGCTGGGCGAAATCAAATCGCGATTAAACCGCGCATGCGGAATACTCACTAGGGCTTCAGATGACAGGCACAACATTTGGTAGTGCGCCAGCTTTTCTGTGCTATACGGGCATTTATTTACGCCCACAATATAAGCAGCTTAGTATGGCTAAATTATTATTGAGGCTTTGTATCAGAGCATGTGAGCGCAGTGGAGCAGTGAGAATTTCCGCTCCTCGCCACAAGGCTGTTGGCTCCGCCCGCTTCTCCGCTGTAATTCGCACTAAGCCGCTCCGCTCAACACCGCTCCTCACTCCACTAAAATTTCCTCCCGCTCCAGTCAAATCGCTCCACACTCGCTCCAATTTAAAAGAGGGACAAATANAGGGACTATGTCTCTCGGCTGGCCTGGGAACGCCTCGGGATTCCCCAAGAGGAGCTGGAGGAAGTGGCTGGGGAGAGGGAAGTCTGGGTTTCCCTGCTGAGGCTACTGCCCCCGCGACCCGACCTCGGATAAGCGGAAGTTAATGGATGGATGGATGGATGGATGGATAAAACAAGCCTCTGTTAAATATTTTTCTTTCCATTTACATGTTGCTGTTATATCGTTGAAGGCTGGACACTTACGGGGGTGGGACAAAATAGTGGGAACATGAATATATTCATTTCAAGTACCTAATTAAGGAGTTCAGCCCCTTCAGTTTAGATAATGGGTTCAGATCTTCCTACAATGTGGTCATGGAATCCTGATGTGTGCAGTGGGACATTGGACCGATCTTCAGAAAGTCTCCAGTTCCTTGGAGCATTAAGGAGGTGGAAATCGACTTCACACTCTGTGCTCCAGCACCTCCCATAAACCTTTAATGGTGTTTAGATCTGGTGGCTGGGAGGCCAAGGAAGGCATCTGACTTCATCATGGTTCTCAGGAAACCTCTCCTGAATCTGTTTAGCAGTGTGTATGGGGGCATTATCATCATGGAATAAGGGAACATCATGAGGGAACAGTGTCTGAGCCACAGGGAGCAGCTGGTCTTGTAAAAAGCCCTCATATTCCTTGGCTGTTATAGGACCATGCAGAACATCATCAGACCTAATGACTCCCACAAGATGGCTGCCCACACCAACAGGTACTATAGGTTGATGGCATCCCTTGATTTTCTCTAAACCCCATGCAGATGCTCTGCAATACTGCACTGCAAATTATGGACGCATGCATGGATGCAGTGAAACCTCAGGTCTTCGGAAATGCAACTATTTCTTTATTTTGTGTCCTTATTGTTAACAGAAATATGATTAAGGAATACTGATTGATGTTGTAGCTAATTGTAATGGAAGGAGGAAGTGCAAGCACTGTGAGAGGAGGCAGAAGAGAGGAAAAACTGCTGGGATACATGCTAGGCTAACAGCTAACCCCACCAGACCAGTGATACTCTGAATTCTACTTTCCAACATCCGCTCTTTAGAAAATAAACTAGATATTATATAGCTGATAGTCCTATCCGTGCTATTAAAAAACACAACAAATATGAAAGTAGGCTTAAAGTAAGAATTAGCGATTGTGGTGAAAGCTTGTTATCAAAACTATGAATATCTCCGCAAAACTCTACTACATGCCCATCCATTGTGTGTTAAATCTTAGCCAATGTTGCTAAGTAACGTTAATCGAGCTGCGGGTCGCTTTGGCTTGTGTTAGAAGTTTGTGTGGATGGTAGGTGGAATGAGATGCCGGCAGTATTTTTGTACGTCTCTGTAAAATTCTAATGATGGGTTCAGTGTCACCAACTTGTTCAGTGTCATTCATCTGCTTAGCATGCAGACGTTATTTAAAGTTACTTAGCAGGCACAGGTGATGAGACCCTGTTTACATGGTTTTTGGATAAATCAGCAAACTTTGTTTAGTTAAATATTAGCATAACATTTATTGCTATTGTTAGCATAAAATCTTTTTCACATTTAATTTTGATAGTGTTTGAACAAATACGTTTATTTAGATTTAAAGTGTATTTTATGTATGAGGTGAAGCATTAAGTGTATTTTCCCCCCTTTTTTCAGTTTCTTACTTTTAATTTATTTCAAATTTAGATTCTCATTGAAATTTTGCAGCAGTGTTACTGAGTTTTTTTGAGTAGCTAAATTTCTCCTATTTCTCTGAATTGTGCCCCTTAGGTTTAGTCCCATTCCCTCTGCTGATTCTAGTCAAGTTGGGGTCAAGCCGCCCATCATCTCCTGCCTAGAAACCAGCTATATCACATGCATACAATTCACATTTTAAGACACATAATGCACCTCTACCCTGATTTTGAAACTTGTTGCTTGACCCTTATTTCCACCTGATGTCCTGTCGAATAACGTTTAGGAATGACACTCTATAGGCACCACCAGTATCATCCAGCACAGATGTTGAATCCCTTTCCTCCTCTATTGCATAGTCTGAAAACTGTGTTCCCAGTTTACTTCCACTGACCTGCTACTCCCTACTCTTCAGTGACAGGCCAAGTAAGATACCACCACACACACACAAACAAACACAGATCAATGTATATTCAGAGATTAGTAGCTTTTCTTTTTTTATGTTCACAGACCTGTACCTGCTTCCACTGGGCCCAACTTTTGCTGATCATCTGTTTTCCTTTAACCACCCAAACTGTCATGCAAGTTGACTGTTATTTTCAATGTCTTGCATTTGACACTTGGTCTCGGCACACACGTAAATATAATTTTTTTGTAATTATTGCATGATGCATTATTACTAAAAAATACACAAATGATATTGAATTAAACTATTTATTCCACGCAAGCTTTTTACAATGTTTTTGAATATTTTTTACATTTTACATTTTTGTAATAAATAAAAAATGTTATGTGTTCTCTGGATGAGATTCAGAAATGTAAAAAAAACAATTAAACTACAGTGGTACCTCAGTTCTCAAAAAATTACCTATAGAGTACTCGATCTGAACCTCAGAAGTCAAACTGTGAACGCCGACCTAAAATAACTTGTACGCGCGGGGAAATAAG